CATCTGAGAAGTTGATTAGTTTGAGTCTGAGAGAAAACAAAAAGGTTAAAATGAAGTAAGAGGACGATGATGAAGATGAATGGATGGTGACCAGAGGAAGAGGAGGAGACGTTCAGTGAGGATGAGGAATGTTTGGGATGAAGAAGACGTCGTTCTGCCCTGGGGAATCAAAGCGTTTGATTGGTCTGATCAGTGACAGGTTGATGATGTTCATCTTCATACAGGAGCAGAATCAACCGGGCCTGTTTCTTCTTCTCCTGCCTTTTTGCTACGGCTGATCCGTTGCCATGGCGACCAGATGAACGCCGTCCGCCAGTCAGAACGGTCGGGTTCTGATCCGGGTTTTCTGTTGTTCTCAGGAGGTTCTGCTGAAGCGGGCCGCCGACCTGGTGGAGGCGCTGTACGGCATGCCGCACAACAACCAGGTGAGCCCGACCCGACCTGACCTATGACCTGAACTGAACCAACCCGACCCACAACCTCAGGTTCTGATCATCAGTTCTGGGTCCAGTCACAATTTGGTTCTGAAAACTTTAAAAACACTCAAATGTCCATCCTAAACATCTGAACCGGCCCAATCAGTCATGTGATCATCCAGTCATGTGATCATCCAGTCATGTGATCATCCAGTCATGTGATCATCCAGTCATGTGGTCATCCAGTCATGTGATCATCCAGTCATGTGATCATCTAGTCATGTGATCATCCAGTCATGTGATCATCCAGTCATGTGATCATCTAGTCATGTGATCATCCAGTCATGTGAAGCTGTTGGGTTATTTCTGGGTCGGGCTTTGTGGCGTTTGGTTCTCTAACCGGCTGGCCATGGCCTAGTCCAAGTCTGACCTGTGTCCTCCCTCCCCACAGGAGATCATCCTGAAGCGCGCCGCCGACCTGACCGAGGCGCTCTACAGCGTGCCGCGCAGCCACAACCAGCTGCCGTCGCTGGCCGGCTCCGCCGCTCACTCCGGCATGATGGGCGTCAACTCCTTCAGCAGCCAGCTGGCCGTCAACATCAGCGAGGCAACGCAGGCCGACCAGGGTGAGCCGCCCCGCGTTTCCTCCCTCTCAGCCGACCAGGGTGAGCCGCCATCTGCTTCTCCCATCCAGCAGCTGACCAATGAGGTCATGGGAAACCTCATAACTCCACCGGTTCTGTTGAAACACGGCCAGGAGCTGCAGCCTCTGATTACTGTTAATGGAATCATTCCCACCAGCCGGCCAGGTAAATAACGTCCTGGATCAGAGTCTGACCCGGAACCAGAATCAGAACCCAGCTGCTCCAGAAGCAACCAGGAAAATGCCTGGAGGTCAGCTGCAGACAGTCCGGATCAGAACCAGAACTCAACTGGAAACAAGCAGGAAGCACATAAGAAACATTAAAAGATCAGAAACTAACAGGAAGTAGATCAGAATGTAAAACTCCAGATACTGACTTTGGTTCTGTTGGGATCGGACCAGCAGGAAGCAGCAAACACATGTTTCTGATTCAGGAAGTGGATCTGCTTCCCACGCCGTCCAAACTCTCACACCAACAGACACATGTTTCCTATCGGCTGATGGGAATCCCCGAGGCCAGCAGGGTCAGAGGTCAGGGAGGGGGGAGCGGTGATGTCACAGCAGGAAGCTGGTGGGAGGAGTTCCAGCATGGAGGGAAGAAAAAAACTATTTCGTTCCCGTCTGTACCAGCAGAACGCTGCACCCGGGAAAGTATTCACCCCCTCAAAAACACGCGACTTCTCCAGAGTGAAAATGGCATTGGATGGGTGCTGCAGCATCTCAATCAGATGCAAGTCCAGACTTTGACTGGGCCACACCAAAACATTAATAGTTCATGAGCATCCAGAGGACTTGCTGTTGAACTGTTACACATCCAGGAGTAGAATCCATGATTCCAAGTGGTCCTGAAGCATCCCAGACCATGATACTGCCACCACCATGTCTGACTGTAGGTACCAAGTTCAGGCTCCGATCTGCAGAGATGGCATTAACAAATGAAATCATAACTGAGAAACTGTTTTATTTATTTTATCTTTGTCTCATGTTTCAGCAGGACATGACAGGTTGTGAATACTATGTTTTTGTGATGGCGTTCCTCAGGGCGTGTCTGATCAAGCTTCCTGCTTTTCCTTCTTCAGGTTATTCCCGTAACTCCAACAGCGTGTCGCCGCGCGGCTACGTGCCGAGCTCCACGCCGCAGCAGTCCAACTACAACACCATCACGTCCTCCATGAACGGATACGGCGCCGCCATGACCAACCTGGGTGTTCCCGGCTCCCCCGGATTCCTCAACGGATCCACCGCCAACTCTGCTTACGCAAGTGAGTCAACGCCGGAATCAAACCTTCCACCAGCAGTGAGACGCACAGTGATGAGGAGCAGAGATCGGCTTCCTCACTCTTCATCTCTGGGAGAGGAGCGACTGTGTGGGACTTTGGTGGTGCTGTCAGGGAACGTTTGTTTTGGAACGTTTCCTGTGAAGGAATGTTGGCCTGGAAATGTTGGAGTCAAGGAAACTCGCAGGGGAACGTGGGTTTAGTTAGGCATGAACTCAGACATTCAGGAAAGGTTCAGATGCTCTTCAGTCTTTAGACTCATTGGGCCAAAGTTTAGAGGAAGGTCAAGGTTTCACCTGTCAGTTACCCTGTAAACACAGAGTCTCTGACCAGAGGTTTGGTTTTCAGATGTTGGATCTCTTAGGCTTGTGAAGACGTACAAATCTGAACTAAAGAAAGAAATGACCTCAGATCTTTGTCATTAGCTGCTGTTAGCTTGTGCTAGCGTCAGTAGTGCAACAGTAGACTACAGTCAACCAGATCTTAGAATCAATATTTGGCAGATTTCCTAAACTGTATCTTTTTAAAATTAATACTTAATAACTAGCTGTATCTCTTAGCTTTAGCATGCTAATGGTATGTTTAGCATGGTAATGTTAGACTTAGCACACTAAAAATGTTATTAAAGTTATTTTAACATAAAACTGAAATATCAGAAGAAATGTTTCATGTTATTTTCACCTTAAAGCAAAATGTAAGAAATTCAAATTATAGCTAGCTGTATTTCTTGGCTTTAGGATGCTAATACTATTATAAGCATCTTAATGTTAATCTTTAACACACTAAATGTTATTAAATTTAGCTTTACATGTTAGAATAAATTATTCAACCTTTTAACTCAAGGAAAATTTTGGAAGATGAAATAATTATCTGTAGATCCTAGCCTTATCATGCTAAAGCTCTCATTAGCATGCTAATGTTAATATGAGCACAAAGGTTAAAGTTAGCTTTATTTCACAGCTGGTTAGGGTTAAAAACATATGAAGCTTCACATACATTAGAAATACTAAACAACAATAAAGAAGAATTTAGCTGTGGGATGAACATCTCAGCTCTAGAACCTCTAGAGCAGGATGAAGCTGATGGGTTCAAGCTGCTGTGAAGCTCTAGAATCAGAGGCAGCATCACGTTACACTGGGATTTGATGAGCCAGACACCGTGCGGGTCCAAACCGAGTCCACCTGGACTAGAGCTCAGCAGGTGAACAGGAAGCTGTTGCTCACACTCTTTGCTGCAGATGCTGATTTTCATGCCTGCAGACGGAGGAGCGGGTCAGAGGGTGTGTGTCTGTTCTTGGTTTGTTGGTGGTACGTTTGTCTGTCCGTGGTGCGTTTGTGTGTTCGTGGTGCATTAGTGTATTTATGGTGTGCTCGTGGTGTGTTTGTGGTGTGTTTGTGGTGTGTTTGTGGTGATTTGGTGTGTTTGTGGTGTGTTTGTGGTGATTTGGTGTGTTTGTGGTGTGTTTGTGGTG